TTAGCGCTGAACACATACAAACATCTTAGCAGTTGATGTCATAGCTTGCTTTTAAAGGATAGCACATTACATACAGATAAATATGAGATCATCCAAGCAGCTCTAGTTGCTAGCTGCAGCACATGTTTCTACAGTTTAGCAAACAGAGCAGCCATAGTGTTTGCTACAATATAAACTTAGAAAGATAACACATAATGCTGGTGTTTCTCCAAACATTCATTTAAGTTTGGTTAAGACTTTTGATTTCCCTAAGTGAACCACACTTGTATGGGTTTTCTGGAGGTGTAATATTTCCTTTGTTTTTTTAGATTGTTTTAGGGTTTTTTTGCTAACTGATTATAGCTGTAATAATGCCATTTCTTTATTCAAGCATCTGATGTAAAACTCATAACAAAGTTGAGGTATACACAGACAGTTACTGCCTGCATCATCTTAACTGTCTTTATATTAATTTGCAAATTAATTTCTCAAACTGTAATAGTCAAAGAAAAAATAATCCAAAACATGGTATTCACACATCAACTTCCTCATAGATATGAATGAAAGAAAAGCAGCAAATGCAAGAACTTACTAACTCAGAGCTCCAACACATGGTAAGTCCTCTATTTCCACCTTTTTTTTTTTTCCCCCCACATACGCTCTACACTACACCAGTATTCAGGTAGTAGAATATTGTTCCCTGGACAAGGCATCAATTTACCCATTCTTCAATCATACACAAGAATTTCTATGCAAATGATCCCAGATTATGATTAGAAAGCCAAGCTACTTAAAACTACATAGCTGGTTTAATTTTATTTTGTTTTGAATTTCAAAGCATACTTTGTTTAAAGAACTTGATTAAATCTAAGTCTATTATTAAAAATGAATCTCAAATAGAACAAATGCATTTTGGCCAAGATAAAGTTCAGTCCTCAAGAAAGCCATCAGCCATATCCAAGGCAATTTTGTCATAGAAATACACAAAAAGGAGAATCTAGAAAGCACTGATGTGTCTCATAATTTCCTGAAATATTGCCCTGTGAAAGTTTCAAAGTTAGGCACCATATTGTTAATCTCTTTCCCCATGTAAAAAGGGCAAGGATTACAGTCAGAGCACAATTACATACAATAATAAATAGATCTAATTATTATTACTTTGATGAATGTAGAATGGAAGGCTTGAAGAGAAACTTTAAAGAGGACTTCCTAGAATTTGATTAACCTTTCTGGGCTGATACATGAGAAAGCACAAAATGGTTTTCTGAAGTGGAGAGCTGGCCAACTGTGTCCAAAGTTATTAAACAGATGCAAAAGTTGTCCACAAGGTGAGAAACTGATCAGAATCGCAGGACTAAATTAGGAAGGAATAATCAAATGTTTGTATTTGACGTGTCTGAAGAACAGGAGACAACAAAGGTACTTTGAGGTGAAAACCACAGCAATTTTGAAGAGAGCTGATCCCTGTGCATACCAAGATTACAGGGCACCCAACAGCCAGGGCACTGACAATAAATAAATAAATAAATTGGACAGTACAAACAGAAGGGAATGATTAAAACTTAGAAATATTCAAGTGGATGTGGTAAGATCTAGACATGTTCTGGATGTGTGGGTCAAAGGAGGGAAACAGGCTAAAGAAGATGCCAAGATTACAGCCTTGAGTGAAGAAAGTCATGGTTATATTCTCTGCTCTGTCTAGTTATTCTGTTTTGGAACAGAGGACAGACAATGAAAACAGTAACTCAGCACTTTGAAATATTACAGCCCAATTTACCAAATAGCAACTGAAGACATCTGTTTGTACGTTGAGACTATAGTATCAATAGCCACAGTTACATAGGTGCAGGTATTCTATCATATGGTACCTTAAGAACCAACCAAAATCACTAAACTACCTATCTTGTTAGTGAAACTGGAAGATGACAACAAAAATACATTACCCTGAAATTAACTTATTCATTCCAATTTAAATGAAGCACTTTATATTCTTCTGTATTTGTTTAAGGAATAGTAAATTAAAAGATATTTCTTCGTTTAAAAATTATTCTATCACAAGGAGAAATTTAGTTAAAGCTCTTCTAATTTATGATAGATGCTAAACTACTCAAACCAAGTTTTTCTTATTCTGAAATTGTTCATGATTAGATTGTAATCTCCTCAGGACAGGGGCCTGGAACATGCCAGGAAGAGTACTGTTAGGCAACAGAGATGCTACTAGAGAACAACTATATTCCCATTACATTTTGGAATGAATTGTGTATACATTTCTTCAGGGTGTTTTTGCACAGACATCCCACTGAAATAATAGCTAATTAATTCACTATAAATAATCTGAAAACAAAAAAAGAGTAAGGTGGTGAAGTATGCTGTTGATACTGAGTTACTGATGGTAGTAAAAATAGAGCTGGCTGAGGGAATCTGCAAACAGCCTCACAACCCTGATTGCATAGGCAGGTGAAATTTAATGTAGATAACCATAATGTAAACACAGAAAAAAATCCTATCCTTACCTATCAAACTATTTAGTGGCTGTAGATGTTAACAGTCAGAAAATAGACCCTGGGATCTATATAGTTAATGCTATGAAAACAATGGTCAATGTTTGTTCAATGGCAAAGAGAACAACATTCAGTAATGCTCAGTTTATCGGCTTTCTCACTTCCCTAACAAAGCAAAACAAATAAATGACAGGAATTATAAGGAAAGAACTAGATAATGACATGAAAACCATTATTTTGACTGCTCTTGTGACCTGAATACTGTGTGTAACTCCTGGTCTCCTCATCTCCAAAAGCATATAGTAGTGCTCAAAAAATAAAATAAAAAAAACAAAGAGAGAGATTAATAGTAACATGTGAAAAAATCAAATAGACTAAAACTCTTCAGCTTGGAAAATACAGGACTGAGGAAAGATATAAAATCATGAGTTGAAGACAGAAGGTGACTAGAGAGCAACTGTTCATTGTTTCTACCAAAATGAGAAGAGTATCAACTAGGACAGATAGGAAACTTTAAATAAACAAAACCACATTTCACACAATGCATAGTCAAGTTGCACTGAGCAAGGATCTCTTCTGGTAGTACACTGCAGATGCCAAAAGCCTATGTGGACTTAAAAAAAAAATGATTGGGCAAATTTGTGGAATAGAAACCTACTGAGAACTGTTAAAAATAAGACACCACTTCTGATTCAGAAAGTGCTAAAGCCACAGATGGTTGCATTCGGGGTATTAAGGTATCATATGATGTCCTGTCTCTGCACTCTTCCTTAGGCACTTTCTAGTGTCTGCCGCTACAGACATATATACTCAAATATGATGTTTTAATGAAGACTACACTATTTATTTCTGGAATGGGTTTATTTCCTAGCTAAATTCAAGGGAATCGAAAAATAAAGGATATGCATAATAGCGAGATACATCTTAGCCTTGAAAACATTTACATATACACTTGATTGTGGTCCAGTCGGTATCATTAACATACAAATAGAAGTAAATGTAAGAATACAATCCCCAAAAGAACTTCACGTTTTCTCATTTGAAAACTTTTAAACATGGATTCTGTACCATCATATTGGTACTAAGTGTACCAAGTCAGGACAGAATTTTTTCATTTTGGGGAAAGAGTGTAGGAGTATTTCTAACAGAGGAAGGCGTACTAGAGTATTAAAGTTCCATCAATTTGATCCGCCTTTTGAAAAATCATTACTTATTTCCATTTTTTTACGTACAGAAGTCACTCTGTTTGTCACTGCATATTGTATTTTCTGTCAGTAATCATGCTGGATGATTTCTGCATATTGTCAACTTCTAGGCCCGTATTCTGCAACAGCACTTCCTGCTACACCACAGCTTCCCCAAAGCAACTGCTTCTCGAGTGCTGTTCAAATGTAGCAAATCACAAGCAACGGCACCAAGTCATCTCAAGAATTCCTTGTTTCAATAAGCAAGCAAAAAGCGCAACCATCGACCTACCTGATTTGATTTCTAAACCGATTTAAACAAGCAGTACAGTATTACGTAGAAACACGGCTCAAAGGACATTTAAGTAATGAGGTAATGATGCACAGTTATAATTTCAAAAGTGCTAAGCAGTTACTCTTCCAGAAACAAACAAACGGGATGAATGAGCAAAGGCATTACTCAAAATCCCATCAGCTGCCTATTTTCACTTGCAGCACTCTAAACACTTTTTAACAGTCTGGTCCAAAATGATTATTTTGATCCATTCCAAAGGGATTAGCCGTGCAAATAATCAAACCCGGTCGAGCACTGTGGTCTAATCTTTAACTTAGTTAAGAAAGACTGGGGAAAAAAAAGTGTAGAAAATTACTCTAATCCATACTTACCTTTCAGGTGTAAAAAAAAAAAAAAGAGGGATAGTCCTTAAAGGGAGAATACTTCGATACTCTGTGTGTGCTTTAAAGCCCGCCCCAGCGACTCCTCCGCGGTATCTCAAAACAAAAAGACAAGATAAAACAGAAAGTTGAACCAGCTCAGCCGCTTCTGTCCCTCGACCGCTTGACCCGACGTCCCGTCCCGAGGACGGTGCGCGGCCGCCTGGGCCGGCAGGGCCCCGGCCCGCTCCCCACACGCTCCCCCGTGGGGGCGGCCGGCCGCCGCGCGGGGGATACACGGAATTTTTTTTTTTTT